TTCCTATTACTAGGATGAGCAGCACCATTTTAAGATATTACAGTCATGAACAATCAGGAAGCTCTTCAAATTATGTCCATGTTTTACTCCAGAACCATCCATATCTTTAAATAAACAAGCTCAAATAACTGGTTTGAATTTGTAGGATGGCATATTTGTACCATGATCTCTTCAGAATAACTGATCATTCCTCCCCTGAGCAGACTTTTGACAGAAAGACTTGACCTCAACTCAGTATACAAGTTTGTTTTATTGTACTTTAGAACTTTAATTATCAATTAAGTCATTAATTAATATCAGTAGATTTTCATGAACTAAGTATATGCAGAAGCACATTTGTAACAAGAACTCTTTATATTTGCTGATGTACATTGTTTCAAAGGATCTTTTAGGGCTAGCAATGTAGTTCAGGGATAAGGTACTTGCTTAGCAGGTGTACTCCAGTATTTCAAAAAAATTATATTTTCCTTATTGCTCTATAACTAGGAAATCCCATTCAATATCAGGAGCACTGGTATAGGGCAGGTACACACTTAGCATGCATGAAGCCATGGATTCAGTCCTCAGCACCAAAATAGAAAAAAGAAAAAAAATCACTGGCACAGCCAACATGTTCAGTTCACACACATACAGACAAGAGTCATATAGAAATAACAATAAAAAATCTCACACCATGTGAAATGAAAAATACAACATATATTAAATGTGTACACAAAGATCTTGGATGACACTACTCAAAAGACTTGTTTCAAATATGGATTACAATTGTATATGAGAATACATATTAAAGCTTGTTAAAGAAAGAATATTCCTAAAAGAAAATGCTGAGATTCGTTGGTGCAACAAAAAGGAATTATCTTCTGGAACAAAATTAAAATGGATATCAATGAGAAAACTAAATAAATACATAAAGCTGATATTAACTTTCACATCTATTCTTCTCCTTCTCTACTACTATTTTACCTATATTACTACAAGTATTTGGTGTGCACCCTCAACACTTCCATCCAAGTCTTTAGCTGATGCCCAAGTTTCCTGCAGTCACTACTCATATCATGAAACTCTATTTCAAAAGCCTTCAATGTCTATGTCCAAGAGTCTCATCCTTTGTTTCAAAAACCATTCATCAAGGAAGCATAGACCATTTTCACTGCCAACTTGTCCTCTCCAGCTGGCCCCATGCACACACTCAGGGACATATGCTCCAAGCATCTGGTCATGCCAATCCCACCTCTAAAGCTTTCTTCTCAGTTGAATAACATACTAGAATGCTTGCTTCACATTCCTCTTCCATCATCCAAATAGTTCGTGAAATTCTACCTATTTCAGGAAACTTTTTCCAGGTTTATCAAGTAAGGTGTAAGATTCCAATGGCCTAATTCTTGCTGATAGAACTCAAAACTTTCACATATATTTCCATTACTTTCTATTCCTAAAAGATTTATAAGCACGTGTAACACATAGAATATGAGTTCTAGTCTTAATCATAGGTAGAATGAAGTAACACATCAGCAAGTTTATTTTTTATACATTTTTGGTGCAAGTCTAAATGTTAATTGGAAGAAGCTGGGAATAGTGGTGCATGCCTATAATCCCAAATACTCAGAAGGCTGAGACAGGAGGATAGCAAGTTCAAGGCCAGCCTCAGCAATTTAGCAAGGCTCTTAGCAACTTAGTGAAACCCTGTTTCAAAATAAAAAATAAAAAGAGCCTGGGATGTAGCTCAGTAGTTAAATGCCCCTAGATTCAATCCCTGTTATGAAACAAAACAAAACAAAAAAGGTAATTGGAAGAAAGAGCAAACATCATTTTAATCCTGATCACCTGAATAAATGAGCATGAGGAAGCCTGTCAGTTCATCAAAATTACACTATGCAGAGTCCACATGAGTATATCTTAGGGAATGGGAATGTTAGAGATGAGGTGTATGTGCTCCATCCCAAGTGGCTACATCATTATATTTAAGGAACATGACTCTTCTTCTTTTTTAGATTTGGGGGGTTACTAAGCATGAAACAAACATTCTCACTTTCAAAATTCAGTCTTTCAATGTTTCCCCCTCCTCCTTTCTTTCTGTCTCCATTCCCTGGCTGATCTATAACTATCAAATTTCAGACTTATAGAGAGCAGACATCACATCATTGACATACATAGTATAGTGTTTTGTGAAAATAAAAATACGACATTTGAAAGCAATTAAGTCAAACTTTACAAATACATGTGGAGAAGGTAATACAGAAAAAAGAATACCCAGTGGCTCGGGAATTTATTTTGAGAAGGGATCTCAAAATAAAAAATAAAAAGGGCTGCAAATGTGGCTCGGTGGTTAAGTGCCTCTAGGTTCAATCCCTGGTACCAAGAAACAAAACAAAACAAAAGTAATGTTTTCAGGAGCTTGGAAACTACACAATTTTATACTTTGTGTGTGTGTATGTGTTGCTGGGGATCAAACCCAGGGCCCTGTACATGTGAAGCAAGCATTCTACCAACTGAGCTATATCCCAGCCCTGATTTTATACTCTTTATGTCTATAATCTAATGTGCTATTATTTACAAAAATAAGATAATTATTATTGTGTTTTAGAGAAGGGGTCTTGCTATGTGGCCAAGACTAGCCCCAAATCCTGGGCTCAAGGGAGCCTCCTGCCTCAGCCTCTGGAGTAGATGGGACTACAAGGAATGCCACTGCATCCAGCTAATAAAATAATTTTTAAAAATTTATGATACTGGGCTGAGAATATAACTCCGTGATAGAGCACCTAGCATTCATGAGGCCCTGGGTTCAATCCCCAATACTACTAAATAAATAAATAATAAATATAATTTAAAACTAAAAATATGATGCCAAACTCAGTTCTACATAGATGTAAGGGTGTTTGATATTTCAAAATAATTCTAATGAATGAGCATTTAATATAGGCTAATATACATAGGGCATAGTGCTAGGCATAAGAGACAACTGTCTATCAAAGAATTTATCTCCAGTTGAACAGTCAGGGCATAGAAAAGAAAAGTGCAAAGCAACAGAAAGAGAGAAAAAACTGTCCTCAAGGCCACTGGCAAAGTTTCCTAGAAAGCATAAGTCCTGAATTGGGCTTAAACTAGTGAAATAATAGGTTATACAAGTAGATGAAAGTATGCCAGAAAGTAAGAAAACATGGACTGGTCAGGGGGAGAGAAGGAGGTAAAAATGAGAGATAATGAAACAGGGAGGGACCAGATCACGGGAACCCTGCATGAGGAAGAATATGGGTGATATGGACAAAAGAGATTAGGCACTAGAAATGGAACAGCAGAAACAAAAGCAGTAGAAAAGAGAAGCACAAGGCTGGAGAAACTAGAGGTGAAATCTTAACAAGATCTGGTGACTGATTAATATGTGAGAAGAGGAGAGGCCAGTCCCTGTTTATTTTCCAAGTGAAATGGTCCATTTCCTATTCCTTCTTAACAGTGATCATTTTTCTAGCATAAAAAAAGCATAGTACAGAATGATTTTAATAATATCTCTAGCTTTAACTTTTAAAATTTAAAAATAAGAAAAGCAAAAAATTTAATGTTATTAATTTCTACAGTTGAGAAATAACAAAAAGTAGAAATATTTTTCCACATGATGATGTTGAAAAGCAAAGCAATTAGATGGTTCTAACATACATTCAACAAATATTTACCATGGAATAATAATACAATACTATAAATTTAACATCATTATCTTTTCTTTGAGACAACTATGAAGTCAGAGACAGCCTGATAAATGGTAAACATTTAGCAAATAAGGAATCAAAACACAAATTTCAGTCTTGGCTCTGGGTTTTAACTTGAGGTCACACAGCAAGTAAATTACTTCCCCAGCTTCTGCAAATGAGCGCCAAAGCATCTTACATTTATGAAATGTTTTTGATTTATTTTCTTGTCCTTTTTTAAAAACCAGAACTTCATTGATATTCTGAAGTTGGACAAGATTGGTTTTGTTTCTTCATAATTTACTAATGAAGACACCAGATCTAAGTGATAAGGCAATGATTACAACGTAGGTATTTGGCCTGATGTTCTCCTATATTCTTTCCACTACACTAAGCTTTCCCTAGCTACTTCCTAAACTTACTTGAAAAAAAATACAGATATGGAAATGCTTTAGAAAGGCTACAGCATTACACAAATCGAAATTAAATTGCTTCATTCAGAAATTACCAGGAAAGAACACAGGTTTTATAGGGACTTAAGCCCATTTTGATACACCTCTTTAAGTAAAATAACACATTATAGGTAAAGACTTTGAAAGGCACTCACCCCTGCAGATAAGAGCCCCTAAAATTTAAGCTTTGGGGTAAATTTGCTCTTGGATGTGGCAAAATAAATAAATAAGTTAATAAATAAATCACCAGTCAACCTGAGATCAAAAAACACCTTCTAAAACCTACCCTCTGTCTTTTAAGCAGTATTAAGTAGTTTGAAAATAGAAACAAATTGAGTCAGGCATAGTGGCACACGCCTATAATTTCAGCAACTGAGGCTGAGGCAGGAGAACTGTACATTTGAAGCCAGCCTGGACAAATTAGCGAAACCCTCAGCAACTTAACAAGATCCTATCTCAAAATATACAAAGTACTGAAGATGTAGGTGAGTGGTAAAGCAACCCTGGGTTCAATCCAGTGTACCCCCAACTCAAAAAAGGAACAGAACATAGTGAATACAAGGCAAAAAAATACATATGCTTGGCCTTTTATTTCCTCACATTTATTCACAATAAGCCAGAAAACAAAATTTCCAGGTAGAAAAAATCTTCTCCATACCTTTATTAGGCTTAAAAGAACAAATTACCAACAAACAGTAAAAGTCATTGTAATGAAAGTAATAAATTAATTACTTTGCTAAAATAATTAAGTTAAAACATCACACCATATAACAATTTTTGTTTTATACACACAGGGATTAAATACACACACACTCATATTTACTCACAATTTGGCAAGCAAAAGATCTCATTAAAAAAATTTTTTTACCTCGTCTCCGCCCATAGCTCCTGGCTGCATGTAAACACAGAAGAAAACCATGGGTATTTGTATCAAAATGGTGAATTTAGAAATTAAAAAATATATATATCTGCACAAACCTCTTTTAAGAATTTTTGGAATTATTAATCTGGAGATACTGTTCAACTTGAGTATAAACATACTATATTTAAAAAAAACTTTTATGTAAGACAAGATATATCACAATATTAAAGAGAAATTCAACTGGAAGTAGCAGCCACTGGAACAGAAACAATGGGTTTTCAAGTTTCATATGTCTTATAAGGATTTATATTGGGGCTTATTATCTATATCAGATATAGATATGAGTTTCTTTTTTAAATTTTGATTTGTAAATATTCATTTGCACTTTATATTTCCAACAGACATGACTCAAAGAAAAAAATGCATTCTAAATAACTAAAAATTGTGGCATATGGTAGTCTTTCTGAATCTCTTACCACACACACACCCACACCCACACCCACACCCACACACATACTTCATAGATGCCTCTGGAAAATACATTGGAAATTTAAATACAATGGGCTCTTGCTGTATAGAATGTGCTTCTGCAAAATTTTCAGTGGATTTTCTCCTATTTTCTCCATTAATTTCCATACATATCACAAACGGGAGAAAACATTACCATGTACATCTATAAAACAAACTGAAAAAGTAGGAAGGAATTAAAGAACTGGGTTCATCTCAGGCCTTCATAATACAGTACTTTGAAGGTTTTCTTTGCCTTCAAAACTGGAGGCCTACAGAATTCATTGTTACAATGCTTAACAGAGCTGACTATGGTATCACATATTGCTTAAAGAACTTGTCATCTAAAATGATTTCCAGCAGCACATGGTAGCACACACCTATAATCTCAGCAACTCAGGAGGCTGAGGCAGAAGAATCTCAAATTCAAGGACAGCCTGGGCAACTTAGCAAAACTCTAACCAGAAGATGAAGAGGAAGAGGAGGAAGAAGAGGAGGAGGAAGAATGATGAGGAAGAGGAGAGGATGAAGAATTAGTGGCTGTCCTGTAATGATGTGTGTGGAGTGTGTGTGTGTGTGTGTTTGTGTGTGTGTGTGTGTGTTCAGGCAACTGTTTTGCTAAGAATGTGAATTTAAGTGCAGCTCAATATTAGCTTCAGTATAAAAACTGTATACAGATTTTTGTATAGTGGCTAAGATTCTTTGTAGAGGAAATACATTTTAAAAAATTTAGATTGTAGCTTTTTGAAGGGCTACTACATACAGTTATATTTTAAAGCTTCTGGTGTTGAATGTTCCTAAATATTTAATGGTTTCTTTAATTTCTTGTGTATGGTAGCACAGCAAACTGGTAGGAATTAGTAAATTTGGGGGTTTTTAGGATATTGCATTTTGGTGTTTTTTGTTTGTTTGTTTTTTTAATTGTGGGGCTGGGGCTGTGGTTCAGTAGTAGAGTGCTCTCCTAGCATGTGCGAGGCCCTGGGTTCCATCCTCAGCACCACATAAAAAAATAAGTAAATAAAATAAAGGCATTGTGTCCAACTACACCTAAAAAAATTGTAATAAAATCATGTATATTATTTCTATTGTCTTTGTCTTAATATGCTGAATTAGTTTTCCCTTTAAAAAATTTATGCCCAATAGTTCTTAGATACAGTAGAGTAAGGTAAAATGTTTTAAATTTTGAAATTCAGATCTGGAATTTAATACACTTTAAGAAGTTCATGAACTTTCAAAGAAAGATTACGCTGTGTGCTTGATAGTTATATTCATTTATTAGGTAACTTGTCCCCSACCCGCTCTGGCCTTAAGAAACTTTATGTAGCTAGGATGGTAAATTCTAAAATGTAAACATTTGATTTTTTAAAAAAAAATTAGTTTTTTATTAAGTTCAAGGTAGAATACCCGAGTAGATTTTGAATTATATCTGAAATCTCGGATCTTAAATTTAGAATTCCAGATAACTAGCCTAAGAAGTATTTAAGATGGCTGTGATATTCCCTGACTAATCTAAATTTCACTACGATTTGTATTTTAGAGGGGATAGCATTTATTTTAGGAATGCTTATTGAGGAGGCAGCAGTTAACTTGTAAATTGATATAAGAGTTATTAGTGAAAGTTGATCATCTATAGACTAGATATCTACAGAAGTCTTTGTTGACGGTTTGACTATCTTGATTACCTAAGGTTTTGTTTTTTTTTCTTTTAGAAGAAAATTGAGGATTCAACCCAGAGTCACTTAACCACTGAGTCATGTCCCCATCCCATTTTTGTTTTGTTTAGAGGCAGGGTCTCATTATGTCCTTAGGGTCTTGCTAAGTTGCTGAGGTTGGTCTTAAACTTGCAATCCTGCCTCAGTCTTGTGAGTGGCTGGGATTACAGGTGTGCACTACCTTACCTGGCAAGATTCTCACTGATCATAAAATGAAAATTTGTTTTCAGGTGTTAGGTGACTTAGTACATTAAATTATTTGGGGTAATGTATTTCAGATGCATACCCTAGTGTAGGGCTTCCCATTTCCCTAACTCTATAGAAATAGTAACTTTGATCCTATTTTTTCCCATTTGTAATATGGGGTAAATACCTACTTCACAGTGTTTTAATGATGAAAATTTTATAAAGTACTTCAAAATAACACCCAATGCACAGAAAAGATGTTAAACGGAACTTGTTAAAATCTAAATATAGAAATTTTGTGTTAATTTTTATATCTATAGATTAGACCCACAAAGCTGTCCTATTGGGTTTGTCCCCTATCTTTGGGAGACTGACATTTTGTTGTATGTAGTTTGAGAACGCCCAATTGAATCAATAGCAAATCAAGCTTTGAAATGGGTCCTGCCTAGCTCATCTTTGAAATACGAATTTCAGATCTGAGAGACTAAAAAAAAAAAATGGCTGGGGTGTAAGTCTAGCTCAGTAGGAAACAATCCCTGAGTTCAATCCCTAGTATAAAAATAAATTAAAATTTTCAGAGTAGAAAGACAAATTTAAAACCTCGGATTCTATAAACAAGAATTCCATTTAGTCTATTTCTTAAAGCATGACATAAAATTAGCTTACACTGAAAAAGGAGGATAATTTGGAATTAAACTTATAGTGTAAAATAGTAAGCAGTAAAACAACTAATTCTAAAGAAAAAAATCTGATTTTTCAGCCACAAGGTTGAAATACTACTATGTCAATCTCATCTTCCACCACTTTCTACTTTTTTTCAGACATCATACTTGCCCTCAGCTTCACCCCTTTAATCTCTTCACTTTCCTACTATTCATATTAAAAACAATCATCCAGTTCAAGTCCTATTTTTTCCCTGACTACTCCCATAATGCAGCCCTCAAGGGAAAAAATCTCTTCTGAATTTACAAAGTTATTACTGTTTGCATCATTTACAAAGGAGGTACATTCCAAAAAAATTTAAGGGACTTTTATGCTTTTTATTATTTGGAATCCAAGTTAGCTTCCTAGCTTGAGCCGGAAAAACTTTGCTTCAACTATAATAATAGGAATAAATTAAAATAGACAACACTTAAGAAGAAAAGAAATAATTTTGACATTCTATCATTTGTCTCTTTGTCCCTTCCTCCCATCCCCAATGATGTCATGCTGCCTGACACCCACTGAAAAATCTGTACTGAGCAAATAAAATACTCTGTTCAAAATTACTCATCTCTGTTCTAAACAATTTCCACTTTTTTGTTTGTTTTTTCATCAACTCTGACTTTTGGCCAAATAATCAATGAAAAAGAATTTGATTGCAATACTAAGGTACAAACTGACTCATTGGATCTTAGCATCCTTAAAGGATAAATGAGAATGCTATTCACTCAAGTCTTCAACTGCCAAACATTCATTCTGTTCACTTTGTGTAATACAGAACACAAAGTGAACAGATGCAGACAGGCTTGAGTATGGGAAGGAACACCCTGAATTGGGGAGAGGAAGACCTACCTGGAAGTTTTAACCAAATTTCCTTAAACAGTTCAGGATTTTTACAGGTTTGTATCTTTTCTCATTTCTGAACAAAGACTGTAAACAGCCTGGGACTTTGATATTTAAGGAGGCAGGATGGCATATGGAAAAGACAGTCAATTTATGAACAGCCTAGATTTATTTTCAACCCTCACTGTGTAATTTAATTATGTGATACCTTGGTTCTGATTTGAGTATTTTATTTATGATTGCTGTAGTGATCATTTTTATGGAATGTAATGCTTTCTACATACCAGGAACAATAATCATGCATGTTAATATCATTAATACATCACACAACTTTATAAGTATTCTTATTAACCTTTTTTTCAGATTAAGAAAAAGGGACAGAGAAAGGTTAAATATCTTTTCAAAATCATATAGGTAGAAGTAAGGGATCTGGAATAAGAAGCTAAGCAGTATGACCCAGAGTCCACACTTTTTTATAGTATTAAATTACAGGGGGCAAGGTTCATATCTTGTATTCCTTTTATGTCCTCTAATAAACCTGCAGAAAGGTCTACTCCAAGTTGGTACTCAACAAATACCCTATTAGTTGAGTGTACAATCCAGGGAGGGAGTGATACATGAGGTAACAGACTTTCGAATGTAGGCCAACTCTGATGATAGTTTAAAATTTGATAAAGTTGCTCAGATTTAAGATCATCTGCAAATAGTACAGTTAGATCAAACTCTTCCCGTAGATAATAAACACCAAAGAAAGAAACATGGAGATACAAAAAGCAGTGCTTTCCCTTGGAAATAAGTATTATTTTAAAATAAGAGAGACCAGTGGCTGGGTGCAGTGGTACATGCCTATAATTCCAGCGGTTTGGGAGGCTGACCACAGGAGGACTGGAAGTTCAAAGCCAGCCTCAGCAATTTAGCAAGGCCCTAAGCAACTCAGTGAGACCCTGTCTTGAAATAAAACACAAAAAAGGGTTGGGAATGTGGCTCAATGGTTGAGTGCTTGCCTTCAATGCACAAGGCCCTGGGTTCTAATCATCTATACCAAAAAATCCATACTTTACATTAGGGTTCACTCTTGGT